CCTTGATTTTGTTTCTTGGCCTACAAAGCATAAAATATGTTTGCTTTTTCTGTGGTAGTCCTAATCTCGAGGGTTTGGGTGACTTTCCTGAGGTTACTGTGGCTAGTGGTGTAGTCAGGGCCCTAACTTAATATCTTGATTCCTGAATTCTACTTTTTTTGTTTTTTTGAGTCGGAGTCTCACTCTGTTGCTCAGGCTGGAGTACAGTAGCATGATCACGTCTCACTACAGCCTCCACCTCCTGGGCTCAAGCGATCCTCCCGCCTCAACCTCTCAAGTAGCTGGGACCACAGGTGCGCACCACCACACCCAGCTAAGTTTTTTATTTTTTTTGTAGAGACGAGGTCCCACTGTTTCCTAGGCCGGTCTTGAACTCCTGGGCTCAAGCAATGTTCCTGCCTCAGCCTCCCAAAGTACTGGGTTCACAGATGTGAGCCACTGTGCCCAGCCCCTGAATTATTTTATTCACTTCAAAAAATTTTTACTCAGCTGCTCTGCTCTGCTCAGCTCTGGTTGGTGCTGTGCCAGGATCCAAGGACAAGTCTTTCTGTGGCAAACACAGACATTCCCAGTGCCTGCTAGTAGGAGTTTATGGTGCAGAGGGGGGCGAAGGATGTTCAGAGATACTCCAGCGTGCACACAGCATTTCAGATACTGTGCATGCCATACAGAGATACAGTGATACTTGTGGGGATGGCCTCGGTTTAGATCTGGGGGGAAGACTTCTCTTGGGATGTTTAAGCGTAGACCTGAAGGGCGAATCGAGTTAGGTCAGCCGGGGGAAGCTAAGTCTTCCTTCCAGGCAGAGGCTGGCGAGTCTGGTCCAGCATGCAGGGAGCATGGGGCGGTGCCCGGTGAGGCTGAGAGCTGGAGCGGGACGGGCCTCTTTCCGCCTCCAGGCGCTGCTTGGAGCTGGGCGTGCCGGGCTCCTTGCTGGGACAGAGAGGCGGCGGGTGCACAACCGGAGGGTCCTGTCCAGTGTGCTGAGGTGTGTCCCCATCCCCTGTGCCCGTTCTAGAGCCAGATGAAGCTGGAGCTGGCGGCGGTGGCCTCTGAGTTCGGGCGGCTGACGCGGTTTCTGGCCGAAGAGCAGGCGGGGCTGGAGCGGCGTCTCCGGGAGATGCACGAAGCCCAGCTGGGGC